CAGCCGGCCCGGGGCCGGGCAGTTTGCGGCAGTTCTGATATTCACTAGTGGTTTAACTTGCTTCTGCAGTTAGATTATAAATTCCTCATGAACTAAAATCACATTTTATTTTGCATCTTTCCCCTTCCCCAATTACTAGCATAATATTGAGTATACAGTTCAAATTGCACTACCTCTACAATGACCCTTATGAAGCCAGGTCTTAAAGAATTCTGTGCAAGGCACAGTGGCACATGCCTGTAATCCCAGCAGCTTGGGAGACTTAAGGCAAAGCCAGCCTCAGCAATTTAGCAAGGCTGTAAGCAACTAAGTGACACCCTATTTCTAAATAAAATACAAAATAGGGCAGGGGATGTGACTCAGTGGTCAAGTGCCCCTGAATTCAATCCCTGGTACAAAAAAAAAAAAAAGTTCTAAAACTTTGTGAGCTCACCTATAAAGTGAAAGTATTCACTGTTTAGGTGGTAAAATTAAAGCTCTTCCATGATGTTTAGGCATTAAACATAGTGATATGCTCTGGGTAACAGAATTCTGTTTTTAAGGGAGAACCCTTACTATCACCTGGTATGGATAAGAATTCAGAATTGTAAGATGAGATCTTATGTAGGCCAGTGGCTCAGAAGTGGGAATCTGTGTACCCCTGAGAATTTGGCATTAGAGAGGAGAGTTGGGTTGTTATAGCTAGCGGTGGGATGTTACTGGTATTTCGTCAAAGAAGTTAATACACACCCTACAATGCAAAGGAAAGAATCTACAACAAGGCTTAAAATGTCAATTCCATCAATACTGAAAAACTCTTAGGTAGACATTCAAGGGACTTTTCCGTTGTACTGTGTAGACTGGAACTGAGAGAGTTGTCTAAAAGTTATTGCTGGGTGAGACCATTTAAAAAATGGTCTCTATCACAGGGAGGTGGGCATCTCTAGAAAAGAAAAGCTGAAATTGAGTTGCCCTGTTTTGATTGTAAGATTATCCTTATGTTATTCTATGTTTTAAATATATAATATTCTTCTATTAGAAAAGTACACACTCACTTTACCTTAAACCATTTATAATGTTCTAGTTTAAGCCATACCAAACTTAATTTCTCCCCAGCTGTGTAACAAGGTATTAAATTAGGAAAACATAACCCATCCACTCTTCCCAATATTAGAATCTCCTCAAGGATCAATTCTGGAGCCTCTGGGGTTAATCAAGATAGCATACACTGTAATCACATTGCATTATCCTAACGTCGAGTGTCAACAATAATTTTTCAGTCTAAACAGTGCTTAACTGTGTATAATTGATAAAGGGGTCAAACTGAATTTATAGACAAGAAATTTCCCACTTAACTCATTTGTCATTTGCTAAATAACAATGAACTTCCAGTCAGTAAAATCTACTTAGTAAGACACAGCATATAATAATGAACCTTATCAAAGATGTATTCAAAGGCTAAATGAGCAATATTAAAACGTATTAGAGTTTATAAGAATAAAGAGGAGAATGTTCAACTTGAAATAATGAGTGAGAAATGCAGAGATGGATGTGAAGAATAAATAGGATTTGGAAAAATATAAAGAAAATCTTTACATTTTTTTTCTATTTAGACAACTTTTATTAAGAAGAAATTCAACCATAAACAACCAAGACTAGTATAATGACTCTTCATATACCCATTATCCAGGGTCAGTCATCGTTGACTCTTCACTCTGGTGAATGCCTACTCTTTCATCAAGTATCTATCTGAACATCACTTCCTTGGAGAAACTTCCTACCTGCCCATCTTACAGGTCTTCTTTGTTGCTGTTACCCTCCATCTCCTCTTCCCTGTCTTCTTAACAAAACACTTAACATCATCATTTGTTTCATCCATATAGCCACCGTGTTCAGTCTCCCCAGGGCTGTTTTGAAGAAAATCCCACAAGGCACATCATTTCACATCTGTGAAACTTTCTATGTATTTCCAGATAAATATGTGTGTATCACCAAACTTCTCTAATAAAAGTGTTTTTTAAATGTAAGCATAATCATGGAAAGGATTTTGTTACAGTTCAGCAGGAGCTAAATTGAAAGAATACAAAAAAGAAAGAAGAGAGGTGGTCTTGGGGTGCAAGGATGTTAATAAATCATCCTTCGAAATTCCCTGATTATTCACAGCTTTGAGTTCAACTTAAATCTTTAGTTTCCCTCCTTTGACAGGAATAGAATAGGGGGATAATATATTCCAAGGTCCTCTAATAGTTGTTTCTGGATGAATTTTTTGGGGGGGTTGGTGCTGAAGATTGAACACTCGGGTGCTTTACCACTGAGCTACATCCTCAGTCTTTTGAGACAGGGTCTGGCTAAATTGCTCAGGCTGGCCTGGAACTTGATACTCCTGCTTCAGTCTCCAAAGTCGCTGGGATACAGGTGTGCATCACCACACCTGGTTAGAGGATTAATCTTCCTGGAAGTAACCTTAGAGACAAACAATTTCGATATTCCAGCCCATATTCTAGTTTCTGTAGCAGGAAAGTAGGTAAGCACAATTGCCTTATTTGTTAAACGAGGTGAGTATAAACTTTTTTTTCTGGTTAACATAACGTGGTATATTAGTGATTGCATTTTTTTCTTCAGCAACAGAAATTATATTAAGGCTTTTGTAAATTTCTGGCAACTCTAGGTATGTTTAGATCCTACCACTCTGATTACGTTTTCATTTCATCTGATGGAATAAGCAGCTTATCTCCTTTCCTACAATTCTAGAGTTCTGCWGTMCTCCTTTTCATAGTCCTTGACTTTTAACGACATCACCATCTGCTCAAAACAGAAAGTAAAATAGTTTTGTTATTGCAAAACAAGGCAGCACTCTTAACAAAAAGCGGTCTGTCTGCCCTTTGGGACCTTTTGTACGACAACGTATAGTAGGTCTCCTCCGAAGAATTCTAGGCCATTCCTTAAGGCTGCCGGTCTCACCTATTAACACCCTCCGGTGGCAGCCGACCCGGGTGCGCTGGTATTTAACCACTACATCATCGCCGCCCAGACGCTAACACACAACTGGGGCACAATGGGTTTTATTTTCACCAGACAGGCTGGGGTCACAGGCCCCCGAGTGGCCCTCAGGTGACTTGCTCCACCTTTGGACCTGGGATACTGGCCGACCGGGCCCTGGGAGCCAGGATCCCCGGATACCTGCACGTGGCCGTGGGACGAAGCCTCGGGCCCTGGGCGCCAGCCCCCGCCGGCTCACTGACAAGAAGGCGCCCGCGAGACCGAGGGCGGCCCGAGCTGCRAGCCACGGAGCCCGCCGCCCGCAGAGCCCGCCGACGTCCTCCCCGTCGCTGGGCAGGCGCACGCCCCCGCCAAGGCGGCTCCGGGCCCTCTCGCGAGAGAGCCCGGCGGCACCTCCTTCCTCTCGGCGGTCCCCTCCTCCCCGCCTCGGAGGACTCGCGCGGCTTCCTCCGGAGGGCGGCAACCTCGGACGTGGCGGGTGCGGGGCCGGAGGCGCTGTGCTCTGCCGTCCTCAAGCAGAAGGCCTGCCCCGCTCCAGCCCCGCGCTCCCTGGGCCTGACGGGCTGCGGCGCGAGCGCGGTAGGGGCGGAGCCACGCGCTGCGGGCGCCTGCGCGGGCGGGGCGGCGGCGGCGGCGGGCGCCACACCTGTGCGAGGCGGGGCGGGAGGTGCGCACGCGCGCTGCGCGGCCGGCGGCGGCGGCGGCGGCGGCAGCGGCGGCGGCACCCGGGACGTTGCGCAGTCGGGGTAGAGGGCTGGGCGCGCTCGTGGCGGTGGCGTAATCCTCCCCCTCTCTGCGTCTCCTCTCCTCCGCCTCAGTTGGGGGCGGGTCGGGAGAATGGCTTCGGAGATGGAGTCGTCGCTCGAGGCAAGCTTCTCCTCCAGCTGCACGGTGTCSGGGGGCTCGGGGTGCCTGCCTCCGGCCCGCTCCCGYATCTTCAAGATCATCGTGATCGGCGACTCCAATGTGGGCAAGACGTGCCTGACCTACCGCTTCTGCGCCGGCCGCTTCCCCGACCGCACCGAGGCCACCATCGGGGTGGATTTCCGAGAGCGAGCGGTGGAGATTGATGGGGAGCGCATCAAGGTGAGCGGATGGGGGACTGTCAGGGAGAAGGACGCCCCGCGTGACAAGTGTCCCAACCCCTCCGTGGGCTGATTTCGGGCCCTCTGTAGAATTTTTTTTTTTTTTTTTTTACGCTGGTGTAGAGATTGGAAGAATTTATATACAGCAAAATTCTAAGGAGTGTTCCTCTAACTTTGATGTGCATGCGATTTGCCTGGGAATCTTGTTTTTTAAAAAATGCACATTCTGATTTGATAAGCCCCCCAAATGACGCAGATGCGGCGAGCCCGTGGACCACTCTCTGAGTATCAAGAATGTAGAGAGTATTTACCGACTCATTGGCTGTGTCTCATATGCTGGGTGGGAGTCAGTGAAATACGACCGAAGGAAAAGCAGTGAAATTTATCAAGCAGAGGAAATAACGTTAGTTATTGAGCATTCATTCAGGCACTGCCCAAAGTATTGTGGAAGTAAAGCCTGTTGCCTTTGAGGAAGTACTTAGGTAATTCCATAGTTTTGCTACAGGAGTTTCTGTATGACATTAATTTGTTTGGAATAATCCATTTTCCCACAAAAAAACATTCTGTGTATGAAAATTCCTATTTGGGTGCCAAAGGGTATCTTTTTTTTTTTTTTTTTTTGACATTGCTGGAGATGGAACCCAGGGCTTGGTGCTACATCTCCAGCACTTTTTATAGAGAGAGTGTTACCCTAAGTTGTCCAGGCCAGCCTGAACTTGTGATCCTTCTGCCTCAGCCTGCCAGGTAGCTGGGATTGATTAGAGACCTGTGCCACTGTGCCCTGCTGGAAACCGCATCTCAATACCAGCCCAGATCCTCTCTCAATTCTTTTTTACYTTGAAGTCGTTACTGGTGGCTCCTGATACTGGGTCACTGAGTAATATTAGAGATGGTATTAGGTCTGAGGAGGGCTAGGGTCCTGAGGGGTTGGAATGAGGGCACTGGTGCCTGAGGATCAATGACAAGGCTGAGACCTCCTGACGGTATACACCTTAGACACACTTCCTTTCAAACGCCCATTAAATACCACTTAATATCTCTCCTTAGGACATAGGGAGCACAGGAACTGCCCTGCCTTCCTTACTCTATAGATTTTACTTTCTGCTTTAAATTGGTGGTCATCTTTACCTCAGGCCAGTTGGAGATGGGTAGGAACAGGCTTTCTTGGGTCATCTTGCCCTTATATCCTTGAGGCAGGCACAATTGGTTTTTCAGTTCCCTAATTACTGCCCTATCCCACCCGMAAAGGGCTTTTACTGTTAATAATAGTAAAGGAGAAATAGGCTGAGGTAAAAGAAATCAACCTTTCTGTAGCCCCCTTTGCTTTTTTTTTGTTTTTTGTTTTTGTTTGTTTGTTTTGTTTAAACCAGGGATTAAACCCAGGGGTGCTCAACCACTGAGCCACATCCCTAGCCCTTTAATTTTTTTTTTTTTTTTTTTAATTTTGAGACAGAGTCTCACTAAGTTGCTTAGAGCCTCGCTAAGTTGCTGAGGCTGGCTTTGAACTTGCGATACTTCTATCTCAGTCTTGGAGCAGCTGGGATTACAGGCGTGTGCTATTACCCCTGGCTCTCTTTTGCTTTTTAATTGTACATTAATTTTTTATTATCCAGTAGTACTTGCCTAGTATGCATGAAGCCCTGGGTTTAATTCCCAGCACTGTTAAAAAAAAAAAAAAAAGAAAAAGAAAAAGAAAAACAAAGTGAACATTGTAGAGGAAAACAGAATAAGGAGAGACTAATCATTTACCAAAATTAGAGTAAGCTCAGAAGCCTGTGGGGAAGAAAATGTGGCTTCTGAAGTTTGAGAGTTTATAGTGGGAGTAACAGGAGTTCTTGGAGAAAGTTCTCAGGCTTTGGAGCCCAATCAACCTGGGTTCAAATATGAACCTATGAAAGGTTAAGAACTAGGCATGGTGGCATACACTTGTAATCCTAGTGATTTGGGAGGCTGAGACAGGAGGATCACACATTTGAGGCCAGTCTTAGCAAATTAATGAGGGCCTCAGCAACTTATGAAACCCTGTCTCATAATAAAAAATAAAAAGGGATGGGAATGTAGCTTGTGGTAAAATGCCCCTGATTTAAATCCCCAGTACCAAAAAAAATAAAAAGAAAGAAAGTATGGTTTGAGTATGTTCCCCAGACCCCCAGATTCATGTGTTGGAAACTTAATCTCCAAATTCATAYGTTAGCATATGTGAGTATGGGTCCTTTGGGAAGCGATTGGGTGRTGAAGGCTCTGTCCTCATGATGGGTCAATATGTTCATGGATTGATGGGTGTAGAGGTTAGTCCGTTCATGGATTCATGGGTTATCATGGAGTGGCTTTGTTGTAAAAGCAGGCTTGTTCTGCYTCAACCATGCATGCCCTCCACCTTGTTGTAATTCAGTGAAAGACCCCCATCAGATCTGGGCTCCGTGTGTGTACATCCCAGCCTCCAGAAGTACTAGCTGTATAAACCTCTATACTTTAGAAATTACTCAGTCTCAGGATTCTTTAGAAAAGCAACACATAGTGGACTAAGATAGACTATGTGTTCTTTGTAGAGTGATCAACTGCCTGAGACTGTACAGGTTTTAAAATTAGGAACCCCTAAGGCACACTGGGATAGTTGGTCACCCTGGTCCTTGAGCAGATTCCTTAACTTCTCAGAATCTGAAAAATTAGGATCGTAATACTTTATCAGACTGATAGGAGGATTAAATGAGAGCATATATGAAGTACCAGGTTCATAGTTGATGTCTGTAGATAGACTGCCTTTCCTGATGTCTTGAACATTACTTTTTGTGCTTGTTACCATTAGGGTTGGAGTTAGGGTTAGTGCCCAAAGAAGAAAACTAGAGGTAGAGGTAGACAGCTGAAGGGGAGAGAAATTCTCCCAAAAGTTGGACTGGAAAATTGCTCACAGATGAGTCAGGTGCAGATTTTAAGAGTTATTAATACCAAAAAACTACACAGTATGTCCAGTGTATAAAGTTGTTGAATACTTAACTACAGGGCCGAGGRCTGGCAGGGATCTGTAGGCCAGACCCACGGGCAGGATGGAGCTGAGAACTTTGTTTTGTGTGTTGGTTCTTTTTGTTTTGTTTGTTTTGTGTGTTGGTGTCTTGCCTTCATCTGTAAGACTTAAGGGTTTTGTTTTGTTTTATTTTTACTGGGGATTGAACCTAGGGGTACTTTACCACTGAGCTACATCCTCAATTCTTTTTATGTTTTATTTTGAAACAAGGTATCACTAAGTTGCTTAGGGCCTCCCTAATTTTCTGAGGCTGTCCTCAGACTTGGGATCTGCCTGCCTCAGTCTCCTAAGTAGCTGGGATTGCAGGCATGTGCCACTGTGCCCAGCAAGACTTGAGATTTTATGGGTGAAAAGATTACAGAAATATTCTGAGGCTTCTGTAGTAGAAAAAGATGGCAGCTATGTTGGAAAGAA